GGAGCATGCCCAGGCATTGTAGGGAGGTCATACAGGCAAGTGGAGGCCACACACACTACTGAGCCTCATTTAGACTTGTTTTAAGGACATTACATCAAAGTTGGATCGGCCTGTAGTGTGGTTTTCCACTTTGATTTTGAATGTGACTCCAAATCCAGACCTCCATGGGTTGATAGATTTGATTTCCATTGATAATTTTTGTGATTTTGTTGTCAGCACATTCAACTACTGTATGTAAAGAAAGGAGTATTTAATGAGATTATTTCATTGATTCAGATCTAGGATGTGTGTGTCTGAGCTGTAGCTCCAGAGCTGCCTCAGCTCAGCATAGAGAGGATGACAGCAGTTGTCCATGATGGCTTTCAGCTTTCCTCTCATCCTCCTCTCAGTCACTGCCTCCACACTGTCCAGTTCCATCCCACCACTGAGCTGGCCTTCTTCACCTGCTTGCCCAGTTTGTTGGTGCCACAAGTCCCGATGCCACCTCCCCAGCACTTCATGGCAAAAAATATGACACTGGCCACTACAGACTGGCAGAACATCCGTAACAGCCTGGAGCACACATTGAAGGACTTGAGCCTCCTCAGGAAGAACAGCCTGTGCTGTCCTTTCCTGTAGAGGGCCTCTGTGTTGTCTGTCCACTCCAGTTTATTGTTGAGGTGCACCCCCAGGAACCTGTAGGTGTCCACTATCTCTATTTGCTTATTACAACAAAGGTGTGGGGCCTCTTGCTGCGTCTGAAGTCCACCACCAGCTCCTTGGTTTTTCCTCTGTTGAGCTGGAGGTCGTTGCTGTCATACCATCCAATGAAGCTCTTAATCAGGTCTCTGTGCTCCTCCTCGCTGTCGTCTGTGATACAGCCGACGATGGAGGTGTCATCTGAGAACTTCTGGAGGTGGCTCGTTCCAGAGTCGAAGCAAAAGTCAGAAGTGTAGAGTGTGAAGAGAAACTGTGACAGTACAGTTCCTTGGGGTGAGCCAGTGTTGCTCACCATGATGTCTGACATGCAGCAATGTAGCCTGACACACAGCGGCCTGTCAGTGAAGTACTCAGGGATCCAGACCACCAGGTCCTGATCCACCTGCATCACGGAGAGCTTCTCAGCCAGCCAGTGCTGGACTGTGTCAAAAGCATTGGAGAGTTGAAGAACATCATCCTCACAGTGCTGTGTGGCTTCTCCAGGTGTAAAGCAATTAGATGACGGCGTCGTCCACACTGATGTCAGCTTGGTACACAAACTGCAGAGGGTCCAGGCAGTCGCGTACCAGGGCCCTGAGGTGCTGCAGAACCAGTCTCTCAAAAGTCTTCATTACATGTGACGTTAGTGCCACAGGCCTGAAGTCAGACAGGTCACTGGAACATCCCTTTTTGGGGACAGGGACGATGCAGGATGTCTTCGACATCTTCTGCTCTGCACACACTTTGAGGACCATTGGGTGGATGTCGTTGGGTGCCCTGGCCTTGTTGATCCGGGTTCTGGTGAGCTGTTGTCTCACCTGGCTGGTTGTGATGACTAGGGTGGAGGGGAGGGGGGGAGTGGAGTGGAGTGGAGGGGAGAGAAGGGAGGGGAGTGGATGGTGGAAGGGGTGTGGAGGGAGGAGACTGAGATGGAGGGGAAGGACGGCTGTTTGTTGGGGGGTGGGGGGGTGGGGGTGGGGGTGAGCTGGGGTGACCCATTGGAGTAGCAGGAGCAGTGTCAGTGTGTTTTGTATTTGTATATCATGAAGACATTTTGTGAAATTACATCACAAACAGGCTCTTAACAATCCCTAATAAACTGGAGAGGACTAACTGTAACCAAAAAACTTGAAATGATCCGAAACAGGGATGGTTCTTAATCATCTACAACACAAAGTACTACATTTCATTCATAAAGTACGTCTCCTATCCCCTTTCGTGTAGAATAGTCCACTCCACTTTCCTTCATACCACTACAAATTGATCTACCACAGGTCTAATAAATAGCACTGAAATCACTGAAGTGAAAATCACTTCCTACACTTTATCGACTTTATTTCATTTTCATTGACAGAACTTTCTTCATTCATTGACTGAACTGTGATGTAATCACTAAAATTAAAATGAACGGTTATGGATGCAGATGTTTGGTCCAAATTTGATAAGGTATACTAACTGTTAACTATGCATGGTATACTAATATTATTGTATACAAATTTTTGGAGTTAGCTTTAAGGTTTTTATAAAGACATAACACCTGGGCCTATATTTTGTTTCTGATTTTCTTGATAAACTTTAAAAAGACTCAAAACCTGATGGTATGTAGTATAGAGATGTGACCTATAGATGGGACAGATTTACTTTTTAAGCTGTCTACCTCAAGTAGTATATTAATTTCCAGAATCAGAATCAACTTTATTGCCAGGTATGTGTACACATACGAGGAATTTGACTCTGGATTGTACAATGCTTATGCTGTGCTGACTTTTACAATAACACAATGATACAGTAATAAAATCAAACACAGGCTACACTATAGAGAACAATAGAGACAGATTGAGACAATAGTGCAATGAGCAGATTGCCAAGGATGCATGTTCTACACTCCGATTTGTAATCAGTAAAACGGGTTTATATTGAACGTTTATTTTGAAAGATGAACCTTTATTTTGATACTGCAAGAGACATGCCGTGCATGCTGGGTTATGAAACCCCAAGTGAGAGTTGCAGGCATAGATGTGCACATGGTGAAGGTTTCTCCTGTGTCTTTGCTTTTCTTTCTCCCCCGAAAGCAATGGCTGTAAGTGTTTTGGCTGTTTAATACATTATTTGACATATATAAGCGACCTAGGTTTACTTTCTGTGTATAATGTTAGTTGTAAATGTACAGAATTAACAGGAATTTGGTGTTATGTACTTGAAGTAGGTGAATTTGGTATATAATAATATATAATAAACAAAATTACAATATGAACAGTATGAACAGCTCTGAAATAGAGAACTAGAGAATGATGAATAAATAAATAATAAGTGGTAACCAGCAAACAGGTGGATGAGTAGAGAGAGTGGGAAGAAACTGTTCCTGAGTCTGTTGGTTTTGGCGTACAGTGCTCTGTAGCGCCTACCACAGGGGAGAAGCAGGTTGTGTCCAGGGTGAGATGGATCTGCAGTGATGTTTCCTGCCCGTCTTGACTCTGGAAAGGTATAAGTCCTAAATGGAGAGCAGGTGGGTACCGATTTCTTTTCTGCAGTCCTGACTGTCCGTTGTAGTCTGCTCCTGTCCTTTTTGGTGGCAGATCCAAACCAGACAGTGATGGAGGTGCAGAGGACAGATTGCATGATCAGCAGCTCCTTAGGCAGGTTGAGCTTCCTGAGCTGACGCAGGAAGTACGTCCTCTGCTGGGCCTTCTTGATGATGGTGTCAGTGTTGGGCTCCCACTTTAGGTCCTGGGATATAGTGGATCCCAGAAACCTGAAGGATTCCACAGTAGACACAGGGCTGTTGAGTATAGTGATGGGGGGCAGAGTGGGGGGGCTCCTCCTGAAGTCCACAGTCATCTCAACAGTTTTGAGCGTGTTAAGCTCCAGGTTGTTCTGACCGCACTAGGTCAGTGGCTGCAGCCTCAAAAACACTCAAGTCAGTGCAGTCAAAGAAGGCCTGTAAATCCAGCTTTAACTCGTTGGTCTTTTCAGTCTTTACAACAGGTTTAGATTTCAGTCTCTGCCTGTAAGTCGGGATAAGATGAACCAGTGATCAGAGAATTCTAAGGCGTGCAGCCTTAGAATTCTCTGATCACTGGTTCATCTGGGGAACAGAGTGATAGGCGTCCTTTAATGTAGTGTAGCAGTGGTCCAGGGTGTTAGTGTCCTGGGTGGGACACTTAATATGCTGTGTGTACTTTGGAAGTTCATGGCTAAGGTTTACTCTGTTGAAGTCCCCAAGAACAATGAGCAGGGAGTCTCACGCCTCACTAACACTGGCCTGAGGTGGAATGTAAACAGCGCCAAGGACAAACAAGGAAGCAGCACCATCTTGGCGTGTCATATTCCTATGCCATTTCTGTCAAAGTACTTATCTTATTGACACCTTACTAACTCCCTGACAGTCAATCTATGAGTGGGCTTTGGTTACCATTTTTGTATTTGGTTGTTTGTAGTGTAAGTGTTTGAAATACTGTGTTTTAGGGAAGGAAACTGATAACGTATTAGCCAAACGGTGCATTTTCAACTACAGAATGTCTCTATGGTTTGATAGAAGAATTAGCATTATATTTGTTGTGTTGACTTGTAATTGCGACTGTTTTTAAATATGCAATCCTTTGTGTTTTAATATGCATTGTTTTATGGTTGGTAATATATTAAATATGTCACTTATAAACATTTTATTACATACATATACATATTATTTGTTGCACTCTTTAAAGCACAAGAAAAATGTTAGGCTTGTCACTGTTCAATAGTCAAGAATAAATAAGTTAAATTTATTGTTTGATGTGTCTCTGCAGTTATTGTTGAAGCTTATAAAATGTGTCAAGACTTTTAAAATGCAGTAACTTTTGCAGAATAAGCAGAATACTGATAATCTGTAAAGTACCAGCATGACATGAAGAAATAGTTTTAACAGGTATAATACTGATACCGTAAATACAGTTTCTTTTTACAGTTTAAACATTTGCCGTTAATAAAAATACATTTATATTACAGTACTGTACCAAAAACGACAGTCCAGTTTTTATTTTTATTTTACAGTTAAAACAGTTTTACCATAAACAAATATAGTAAAGTAAAATACTCTTTTTCTTATACATTAAGTTGCTTGTCAATTTCTGCCAGTTATTTAGTGTGAGTTTCAGTAGGTTTCTTACAGTGTTGACTAATGACCCAAGGTTTGTTAACAGGGATTAAAATTTAGTCCTAAAAGAAAGAATTAAACATAAACTTGGATCAATAAATCTTAGATTATCCCTAAAGTCACAATGAATGTATTGATACTGTGGCTTCCACTATATGGAAAACATGATGACCATAGAGCTGTGTGGTACCTATGCTTCCTATAGAGGAGGTGATGAAAGCTAACTTCAACAGGCTTACGACCTCACACCACGGTGACCTCTGACCTCCTGTCAGCATGGCCATCAGGGAGCTGGAGATGATGATGAGGGAGCAGCCTTCAAAACACAGTGGTTCGTTATCAGAAATGACTATCTATTCTTGAAAATTACATGTGAACACTGTGACAAATATGTTACAATACTAGAATCAGATGACATCTAATCCTGTGATGCACCAGCACTGATGTCGGTGTAAATTGTACCTAAATCAGACATGGAGAGACCGATGAAAGGAAGCCAGTAACGACAGCAGAACTGACCTCTGCACTGAAAATTAAAGGTAGAAAAGAAGTGAACACACAAAAATGAGCCATCATCCACAACCAAAACATTTAATTAAATTCAACCATGGCCCATTATGGTCTTTTTAATTACAGACACAACTTACTTGAAAAACATTTCCCACCAACACAAAGAACAGGCTTACCACCTTACCATGACTTTGACTAGCAGAATAAGACAGTTTCCCACAACTCCCATGACCATCTCCAGTCCCAACACAGCCACCAGCATCCACTTCTGTGCATCTGGCCAAAGCCGTTCCATGAACACGGTCCCATTAAACCACTCACTCACTGGAAGACAAGGAATACAGAGCATAGCACAGTTTATTATTAAATAAAAGCCAGCACAAAGTTGGGGAAACTTGTGTCCACCACACTGGAGCTGGTATTGCTGACTACGGTTTACAGTTTTTTACAATTGCCGTCAAGCACAGTTCTATTTAGAATTAACATGTAGACATGTGCAGCAACAACACTCATGTTGGCTGTAGCATTTAAACAATACTTAATTGGTACTAAAGCCTCGAATATATTCATGAGCGGACACGGACAGCTGCAGAACCCGCGGACGCAGACTACTTCTGTTTATACTACTTTATGCAGTCAACTTGGCGGACACGTTCCACACATGCGCAGTAGATCGGTTGGTGCCCTGGTAGCGCCAGTCGCACTCGGATGTCCGCACAGACCCTATGTGTACCCCCTCTGATGACTTTCTTTTCGTCACACGGACCATAGCTGGCCCTCGCACACTCACGGACGCGGAAAGTATAATCCTTGGCTAAGGGGCTGAAAGTGTGCCATTACACCACAACCACCAGCCTGAACTGTTGATACAAGGCAGGATGGATCCATGCTTTAAGTTGTTTATGCTAAATTCTGATTCTGCTATCTGAATGTCTCAGCTGAAATCGAGACTCATCAGACCAGGCAACCTTCCAATCTCCTGTTGTCCAATTTTGGTGACCCTGTGTGAATTGTAGCCTCAGTTTCCTGTTCTTAGCTGACAGGAGTGGCACCCGGTGTGGTCTTCTGCTGCTGTAGCCCATCTGCTTCAAGGTTGGATGTGTTGTGCATTCAGAGATGGTATTCTGCACTCCTTGGTTGTAACGTTACTGTTGCCTTTCTGTCATCTGGAACCAGTCTGCCCATTCTCCTCTGACATCACCAAGGCATTTTCGTCTACAGAACTGCCGCTCACTGGATCTTTTCTCTTTTTTGGACCATTGTCTGTAAACCCTAAAGATGGCTATGTGTGAAATTCCCAGTAAATCAGAATCAGAAATACTTTATTGATCCCCAAGGGAAATTCTGTAGATTAGCATCTTCTGAAATACTCAGACCAGGCTGTCTGGCACAAACAACCACCACCAAATCAACTGCCATCATTGGTCAGCTCGTTCGGACCACCCTGTGACTCCTGACCCTGTGACATCTCTCGTTATTCTGGGTCAGTCAGGCTTGATGTCTGACAAGAAGAGATCATATTTGTTTGGAGATGTAAAACAACAACAGAAGAGCCTCGAAGAAGAGAGGAGGCAAGAAGTTAAAGGTATATTGGCCCACAGGCTCCATTTTCCTATGCCTGCATATTTAGATAATCTAAACCAAAGGTCTTACATTAGCCTTAATTAGCCACGCTGGTAGTAACAATACTAATGCTATACTTGCTAACATGCTAACTGCGATTAGCATCACAACTTTTACAAACTGCGTAAAAATGGGATAGTATTAGTAATATAACATACCAGATAGTCCAGGTTTGAACACAGTCATGTCAGCCAAGAAGCTGACACTGCTGGTAAGTTATGATCTAGGATCCTGTTCGTGGACTTCAGCTCGGCGTTCAACACCATCATCCCGTACATCCTCAGCACCAAACTCACCCAGCTCACTGTGCCAGCCTCCACCTGTCAGTGGATCACAGACTTCCTGACTGACAGGAGTTAGCAGGTGAGGCTGGGGAACATCACATCCAGCACCCGGACTATCGAGTGCACCTCAGGGGACCCATCTGTCAAACTCCTGAAGTTAGCTGATGACACAACGGTCATTGGCCTCATCCGGGACGGTGATGAGTTGGCCTACAGATGGGAGGTTGATCAGCTGGCTCTCTGGTGTGGTCAGAACAACCTGGAGCTTAACACGCTCAAAACTGTGGAGATGACTGTGGACTTCAGGAGGAGCCCCCCCCCCCATCACCATTCTAAACAGCCCTGTGTCTACTGTGGAATCCTTCAGGTTTCTGGGATCCACTATATCCCAGGACCTAAAGTGGGAGCCCAACACTGACACCATCATCAAGAAGGCCCAGCAGAGGACGTACTTCCTGCGTCAGCTCAGGAAGCTCAACCTACCTAAGGAGCTGCTGATCCAGTTCTACAAAGCCATCATCCAGTCTGTTCTCTGCACCTCCATCACTGTCTGGTTTGGATCTGCCACCAAAAAGGACAGGGACAGACTACAACGGTAATTATCCAAGGTGGTTATCAAGGGCAACTGGACTTGGTTGAAGATATTTTAAGACGTCTTGCCTCTCATCCAAGGGGCTCCTTCAGTTCTGACTGACTGAAAGAGAAATGGCCGCTTTGACTCCTCATTCAAACCATTTGTCCCCCCTATACTGCATATTTACATTGCTGTCCACAAAATTGTCCCTTATCTGTTAGAATTGTGGGGTATTGGTCCTTATGTGTTGAGCCATGCATTTGTGTAGTGGTTGTTTAGGTTCCCCAATACCAATATAATAAAATATAGTGTACATATCAATATATAAACTGATATAATCTATGACCACAAATGCGTGGCAGAGCACTTATGAAAGCATTTATCACTTCCTGTGTCAAAGTGTATGTGTGCAAAGGAGCACCCACTAATGATACGTTATGCCCTAGTACATCATGTTGAGAAAACTTATTTTAATTGCATAATGGGTGTCACACAAGGCTTACTTCCTGTCGCCAGTAGCTGGCGCTATGACTATAACTGAATTTTGCCATGTAGACGTTTCAATCACATAATCGTGTGCTGTATATCAGGATGTTAAAACCTGGATGACCTGTAATTTTCTAATGTTAAACTCAGATAAAACTGAAGTTGTTGTTCTGGGGCCTAAGCACCTCCGTGATGCATTATCTAAAGATATAGTTTCCCTGGACGGCATCACCCTGGCCTCCAGCACCACTGTGAGGAATCTTGGAGTTATGTTTGATCAGGACATGTCGTTTAAGTCTCACATTAAGCAAATTTCAAGGACAGCCTTTTTTCACCTACGTAGTATTGCGAAAATCAGGAACATCCTGTCTAAAAATGATGCAGAAAAACTAGTCCATGCATTTGTTACTTCTAGTCTGGATTACTGCAATTCCTTATTATCAGGCTGCTCGAAAAAGTCCATTAAGACTCTTCAGCTGATCCAGAATGCTGCAGCACGTGTTCTGACAGGAACCAAGAAAAGAGATCACATTTTTCCTGTTTTAGCTTCTCTGCATTAGCTTCCAGCAAAATCCAGAATATAATTTAAAATCCTTCTTCTCACCTACAAAGCTCTTAATGGTCAGGCACCATCTTATCTTAAAGAGCTCATAGTACCTTACTACCCCACCAGAGCACTGCGCTCCCAGAATGCGGGGTTACTTGTGGTTCCTAGAGTCTCCAAAAGTAGACTAGGAGCCAGAGCGTTCAGCTATCAAGCTCTTCTCCTGTGGAACCAAGTTCCAGTTTGGGTTCAGGAGGCAGACACCATCTCCACATTTAAGAGTAGGCTTAAGACTTTCCTCTTTGATAAAGCTTATAGTTAGGGCTGGCTCAGGTGAGTCCTGAACCATCCCTTAGTTATGCTGCTATAGGCCTAGACTGCCGGGAGATTTCCCATGATGCACTGAGCTCCTCTCTCCTCTACTTCCTCTCCCTCTGTATGCAACCTCATCCCATTATTGCATGTTACTAACACATCATTTTGGACTTTTTATTTAGTGCTTGAGTAGCAGAGCATAAAAATATACATCTTGTGTCCAAACTCCAAACAGGGAGGAAGATACAGCAAGTTAGAGAATTAGTGACTGGGGGAGACCTCAGGCTGCAGCTACAACAGGGAGTGAATGAGAGATGACTGAGACTTTCCTGCTCATCCACTGATCTCTTCTGGGGTAATAGAAAAATCGCCCAGGCTGTACAGCAGCGCAGCCAATGACAAGATATGCCCATAGCAACATGAATTAAGCCATTCAGCGTCCTCAAATCTGATGCCTGAAGGAGCAGAGTCAGTCAGTGGTAGAGTAGGGACACTTGATGTTGTAAACAATGATGAATGCGGGAACTCAAGACAGAGGCTTTCAGCCACCCACAAATTCAATAAAATGCCGTGTTTTGCTTCCCATGCTTGCTTTTTAAAACGGCGGGGATGGATATAACATGGACTGTTACAGGAGTAAATGACACGAAACATTTATCTGAGAAGATTAAGAAACATGAGTGTACAAGGGCACATATGGATAATACCGTGAAGCTAGCCATGCTAGGCAGAGTTAACATCGCTACACAGTTGGATGAAGGCCACAGGATTGGGGTGAGGACACACAACAAAGAGGTGGATAAGAACGGGCACGTTTTATCAAAGATAATTGCCTGTGTTAAATTCTGCAGGGCCTTTGAGTTGGCCTTGCCACAATGAGACTGAATCCTTTCACAACCCTGCCGTTTTCAGTACATCTTGTTGCCTTGCTGGACAGTTTGTTGGAGGAGCACCTTAAGACAGGCACCAAAAAGACTGTGCAAAACAAACTTTTGGACTGTATGCTGTCAGTTCTTAAAGATTAAATTCTGGAGGAAGTAAAAAATGCAGAATATCTTGCTATTCAGGCAGATGAGACAACTGACATCTCCACCCACTGCCAGTTGGCGCTTGTCCTACAGTACATCGACAAGGAGAACAGCAGTTGGCTACAGAGGTAAGCTGTATAGTTTATAGGCAGCTCGAAGTGTTAAGACATGGTAATTTCCAGTGGTGGACAGTAACTTAAGTAGGCCTACTGTACAAATAAGAGGTACTTGTACTATAATGAGTATTTTCTTTTCATGCCACTTTCTATGTTAATGTTCATTGTTTGTTTTTTGTGTAAGAAACTTTTCATAAAAATTCATTAAATAATTTCTGATTATTTCACAAAGCACTCGTATCCTGCCGTTTGTGTTTAATTGTATTGGGACAATTACTGAAACTGACTGGATATGGCACAGCCCAACCTAAAATATTTTACTTTAATGTGTTGGCTGCAGTGTGGACCTACTATTGTAACTTTATTTACTGTTACTAACTGTGATTTTATGCATGTTGTGGTCCTTTTTATAAATGGTTGTTGTTTTTAAATGTGGAGTAAAAGCAGGTCATAACATAATAACCTGAATCTGCACAGTGCATATTGTTGATCTTCACATAGTAGCTGGGACAATTACAGTGAAGTGTAACTTAGTGGGCTATTGTGGAGCTAAGTTGGTCTCTATGTTACCCAGTTCTAATGGTGTTTTTTAGTTTTAGCTGGTTATTAATAATAAAGTGTTAAAACTTTAGTTTCCTGCCTCTGGTCTGTTAATTCTGAACATACACTGAATCTACTGAGACTAGAGTGGGAAGATAGAGAAATACTTATTACCCATTCCAAAACCACATACTATATGGGATCATAAAATTTCTCTGTTAAATGAGCAATGATTGTTATCTATAAAAACACCACTTTAGTCTTGTTCGACTAAAGTGTTGTTTTTATAGATAACAATCATTGCTCATGTTAACGAATAGGAAAATATAAACATGTTATTTTGGGAATTATTTTGATTATCATTAGCCTCTCATGGTCTTATAACATATTTGCCTGTTCTGTTCATCATAATCAATAAATAAGAGATAATACTGTCCATCGGTCAGCTGCCACGCATAACTGGAATGGAATTTAACAAAACTGCTGAGCTTTTACAATAACTTAACAGTTTTTTTTAAATCTATTTTGTAAAAATTTACAGTCCGGTACACAAAAGTAGGATCGAGGCAGGAATGAATCAGGAGCAAAATGTTACTGGAAAATCCTAAATAACTGCGATTCGAGGGCTATATATTAAATATTGATGAGTTAGTAGACAACAGACCAGTATATACTCATGCATAGGGACAGACAGGGTTAAGTATCAACCTCAATCTGAAAATAATATTTGATAGAGGAAAGGCTACACTTACTTTTACTGTGAGCCGCCAGTCCACAGCCTTCAACAGTCGTTACTAGGTGTTTGTAGTGGAGAGCTTAGATGGAAGAGTCATCAAAACCATTTTCAATTAAAATTCACATGCTTCATTTAACTCAGTTAGAATGGCTCTGATGCATTTTGTGCATGTGCCTGTAATTCAGCTTCTACTACTATCATTATCCTGTAGGTAATGGTAACAATCAACAGCGTTGAAAATAAGCTACTTTTAAGAATCAAATTGTGAGAGAAAAAACCCTCAGTCTGGGCACTCACACTTTATACTGTTGGATGTAACTGTAACTTAGACTTTAGTCCTTTAGTTGTAATGGTAATCTTCAGTAAGACAGGGACTCAAGTAAAACTCAAATCAACTCAAGTTTAATGATAATTTCAAACAGGTGCATATACACAAATACATGTGTATCTGAGCTGGTCCCGAGAGCAGACTTCTCAAACTCCGTAGTACATTGGTGTCACGATTAATGGAGGTGAGGCAGGTTGGTGGACCCAAACGCAAGACAACACGGCAGAGCAGATGCAGTTCAGGATATTTAATCCAAAGGTAACCAGGTAACAGGCTTACATGCAGTTGACAAGAAAGTCCAGGCAGGCAGGCAGGCAGGCAGACAGGCAGACAGGCAGGCAGGCAGGCAGGCAGACAGGCAGACAGACAGACAGACAGACAGACAGACAGACAGACAGACAGACAGACAGACAGACAGACCACTAAATCGAACAACAATACAATGACCGGACACAGACTGAGGGAACAAACAAGTATATATGCACACATGGGTTAACGAGCTGGGAGGGAGCAACACAGGTGACTGGGATCAGATTAACGAGGGAGGCAGAGAGACAGCAGGAAAACAGAGAGACAGGCAGGCAGAGACAACACGGGGTAACAGAGAGACAGGCAGGCAGAGACAACAGGGGGTAACAGAGAGACAGGCAGGCAGAGACAACAGGAGGCAGGCAGGCAGAGACAACACGGGGTAACAGAGAGGCAGGCCGGCAGAGACAACAGGGGGTAACAGAGAGGCAGGCCGGCAGAGAGAGACAGTTAACCTAAGTAAACACTAAGACATGAACTGAGACACAACTAGGACACAGAGAAACACAGAACCAAAAACAGGAAAGACATCAAAACTACATTACTAACAATTGGTTGATATATCCTGTCACGCTCCTTCTCTTGTGGGTCTTAAGACTCATCTTCTACATCTTCATATTCACACATAATCAATAATACAATAGTGTTCTATCCTTAAACTCTTCTGAAGTAATAAGACTGAAATGTTACACTGATCAATAAAACATCATCTTGATGTTAGCATAACATTGTATATGCATAAAACAATCACACAGTTGGTTAACATCAACCCATGCATTCCAAGTTTATGTGCTGTATGTTGTGTCACATGATGACCTTTACAGCCTTCAGAGTTCCAGTTCACTTGCAAGTGGAGCTAATTAGCAGAGGAGCAGGACCACAGATCAACCATGTCATCGCCAGCATTTCCATAAATACCCCCACATCGCAGCTACTCTACTTTCTGCATACAAAGCAAGACCAAGCAACATTGTGTCAAGCCCGGTACACTAACATCCTATAACATGAATCATCAGCTACTTCCATCCATTTACCTCTTTTGAGAATTGTCTCCGTACATTGCAATCCCCATCGGACGATGCATTATTTGGACAGACTCATGACAGTCATCTTCTACGTTCAGCAGATCCAGCACCTGAAGCTGAACTCTCTCTTCCGTCTCCACGCTTGGGATGCTGCCTTCTACAATCCTAATGTCGAAGCCTCCGCCTCACAACAAACAGCTGATCACAGCGCTACCCGGCTCCAGCGAGGTCCCATATCAAACAGCCTTCATGAACAATCAAGACACAAACTATAACCACGAGACGTCAGCGCCAATGTTAAATGGACAGTTCACATTTTTCGTCTAGCTCAAGATAGTAAACATCAGTACCAAAGCAAACAGGATTCTAACAACAGAATTCCGGGGCCTCCACCCCTGTTTACAGCAACAGCACCAACAACTTACATTATATGGAACAAACCACATCAAGTCATAAACACCCCTGCCTTTCAGCTCCAGCAGCTACATCAGCCAGGGGAACCTGGCACCGAGATGCCAGCTTCCCCCGTTGCCAACTTCCAACAACTAGAGCAGTCGTATACATCTAGCAACCACAGCAGCCCATCTCAGCGGCTGAGGCACCAGGATGCCACCATCAACCAACCACAGTAACCAACACAGCAATTACACTTCAAGCAACCACAGCAGCTTGCTGCAGTAGGGGTTTCCGCACCGAGATGCACCCTACCAACAACCTCAGCTATGGAGGTTTGGCACCGAGATGCCAGTGCCCCACGCTGCACCCTACTACTAACCTCAGCAGAGGGCGTCAGTAAGGACTTCAGGCACCGAGATACCGATAGTCATTTTGAGCTAACATCTAGCTCTCGGTCGTTCCAAGCTCACAGTCGTTTCGAGCTAACATCTGGCTCTCAGTCATTTTCGAACTATCATCTGGCTCTTATTCGTTTCGTGCTATCATCCGGTTCTCAGTTGTTTCATGCTATCATCCGGCTCTCATTCGTTTTGAGCCAACATCCAGTGAGTCTTTTCGAGCTCTTGAGCTAATATCTAGCTTACTGTCATCTCAAGCTAACATTCAGCTAAGAGTCGTCTTAAGCTTACAGTCGCTTCAAGCTCCGTCATTTCAATTTGAACATTCGGCTCATAATCATTCTAAAAATATTTTGGCTCTGATGCATTTTGTGCATGTGTGCCTGTAATACAGCTTCTATTACTATCATTATCCTGTAGGTAATGGTAACAATCAACAGCGTTGAAAATAAGCTACTTTTAGGAATCAAATTGTGGGAGAAAAAACCCTCAATAATTTCAATTGAATATAAAAATATACAACAACAAAGATTAACAATTAACAACAAATATGTGCAGTGTGCCAGGATTGTGCATGATATGAAATGAAAAACTATTGTTGATGAGGCTAGCTGCAGACGGGAAGAAGCTGTTTTTGTGGCGAGAGGTTTTGGTCCTGATGGTACACAGCCTCATGCCTCATGAGGGGAGAGTTTGAAACAGTTTGTGACAAGGGTGGTAGGGGTCAGCTGCAATTTTCCCTGCTCGCCTCAGAGTCCTGGAGGTGTACAGGTCCTGAAGTGATGGAAGATTGCAGTCAATCACCTTCTCTGCAGAGTGAATGATGCACTGCAGTCTGACCTTGTCCCTGGCAGTGGCAGCAGCATACTAGATGGTGATGGAGGAGGTGAGGATGGACTCAATGATGGCGGTGTGGAAGTGCACCATCATTGTCTTTGGCAAGTTGAACTTCTTCAGCTGTTGCAGGAAGTACATCCTCTGCTGGGCCTTCTTGGTGAGGGAGGTGATGTTTAGCTCCCACTTGAGATCCTGGGAGATGATGGTGCCCAGGAAGTGGAAGGAGTTCAGGAGGAGGGGTTCGTTCTGAAGTCCACGACCATCTCCACAGCCTTCAGAGCGTTGAGCTCCAGACTGTTCTGGCTGCACCAGGTCACCAGATGGTTGACCTCCCACCTGTAGGCAGACTCATCACCACCAGAGATAAGTAAATAAATGAGATTGGTGTCATCCGCAAACTTCAGGAGCTTGATGGACTGGTGACTGGAAGTGCAGCAGTCGGTATAAAGAGAGAAGAGAAGGGGGGGAAAGAATGCAGACTTGAGGGGACCTGGTGCTGATGGCCCTGGAATCAGAGACATGTTTTCCCAGCTTCACATGCTGCTTCCTGTCCGTCAGGAAGTCTGTGATCCACCTGCAGATGAAGTCAGGCACATTCAGCTGAGAGGGCTTGTTCTGCAGCAGGGCCAGGATGATGGTGTTGATCACCTAGCCAACAGTCAATTCATACGGACTGTCGTTTCAATCCAAGTCATTTGAGCGAAGAGTCTTTCAGGCTAACTAGTGTTTTGAACTAAGTGTTCGAGCTAAGTAGTATTGAGCTTAGCTTTGGCTCGAATGAGCAGTCGCTTCAACTAAACTAAACTATTCAAGCAAACAGACCTTCGACAGTCGTTTCGAGCTACAAACATTTCGAGTCAACAGTTCGAACCAACCATTTAAATCGGGCAAGCTTACACTCGTCTTTTCTCCGGAGTCCAATGACCCCAAACCCTTGCAAGACCCTCATGAACCAATTGCTCTGGGATCCCAGAGTACAACGCGTCAGTTCGTCGGTTGCAGTGGCCTTTCGATTCCTCGTGCCACTGCCACTTCCACCAAGCACTCTCTCGTCATGCTTTTCACCCATCCATCACCCCGGTCACTCCTTCAGTATGCAAGCTATCCTTTCAGCCTCTGACGTCATTTGGATACACCGGATACATGTCATGCGCCGCTGGTCCTCCCAAACATACCATCGTCACACTCATTCAACCTTTAACCTAAAGTTTTTGGGGGTCTGTTGTGCCTGGGTGCTACGGCGGATTTCCCTATAGTAACTTCCCTACAACACTTAGGGGTCCTTGCTAGTGCTAATTAGCAGAGTTTTTTGAGCGTGACCATAAATACCCAGACATCACAGCTCCTCTTCTTCACTCTCACATTCTACATCCCTCTCCCCCACCTGTTTATCTGTCCTGTCTCCTGATCTCGACCTGTCTGACAAACTGCCTGCACTGCCACTGTCTATTACTGCACTCTCCGGAGAAATATTCTCAAATGTGCTTGAAAAAGCAATCTCAGAAAGAAGCAGACAGTTTTGCAGTTTTGCAAGGTTGTATTCAGGCTGTGAAACTGACTCAAACTAACTCAAACAGACGTAAAAAAAAAAAAAAAGTAAGATAAAGCTAAGCTAAAACCTACCGATCACACAGTACAAATGACCACCGCATCCCCCGACTATTGAGACAAAAGACAACGAAATTCAACTCAATTTTATTTATATAGCGCCAAATCACAACAACAGTTATCTCTGAGCGCTTTTCATAATGAGCAGGTCTAGAACATACTCTGTGATGATATTTACTGAAACCCAACAGTTCCCACCAAGAGCAGCACTAGGCGACAGAGGCAAGGAAAAAGGCAGAAACCTTGAGCAGAACCATGGCTCAGGGTGGGCGGCCATCTGCATCGACTGGTTGGGAGAGAGAGAGAGAGAGAGAGAGAGAGAGAGAGAGGGTCCCTAGTGTGTATATTGTGTAGGCAGCCAACACAATATACACACAGAGTTACAGACAGTAAAGGTGATGTTGCTATGTTGACTGAATGAATAACAGTACAGATATTTATAGTAGTGTTAATGATAACAATCGCAATGTTAATGATTATAATTACAATAATAACAATAGGACTAGTAACAATAATTGTAGCAGAGGGTCTCGAGCAGGAACACGGGGGCAGCAGGTGACTCGCAACCACAAATCCAGACTCCACAGCTCCAGAGCCAGAAGCACCTGCAGGAAGTGATAGGAAGAGAGAGGAGAGGGACGAGTAAGCACAAGACTACCGGGATGGGGAGAAGTCGAGTTAGTAACATGCAATAATGGGATGAGGTTGCATACAGAGGGAGAGAAAGAAGAGGAGCTCAGTGCATCATGGGAAATCCCCCGGCAGTCTAGGCCTATAGC